TTATGTATAAGTAAATATGCTAATGGATTCAGAGTTTGCAGTGACGCCAATTATGTTCCGCCTCATTAGTTCACCGCACAGACCGTTTAACCTGGCAACAACTGCAGCCGGCTCAAACGTGATTGGTCAATATCACGCGGACTACAAACAGCCTACAACCGGAAACCAGGGCTCCTCCGCTCTTCTTCCGGAGGCAAGATCTCCAGGGTTTGCCTACAGACTCTACATTCACTGAATGTAGAGTCTGTATATAGAGACTAGTGGACACCCGATTTGAGGCCTCACGTTCAGCATTTTGGCCGACACCATCTTGTTTTTCTGGAGCCAGAAGTGACCATGCTTAGACAAGAGGCTGGTGCTGAGAAGGAGCGATGGGTGGATCTGACTGAGAAGTTGAGGACAACCTGTCACTCAAAGCAGCCCCGCCCTTATGTGCAAGTATGTGTAACTTTAATAAAATGTAAACAAGTGAGTTATATAAAATGACCCAAAGAAATTTGAAATTAACTATAGAGACCAAAACTGTTTTGTGTACCAGGCTGTAAACATGTTTATTTCTGTTATGAAGTCGGACATTTTAACATGGAGGTCTGTGGGGACTGACTGATTTGGAGCCAGCCTCAAGTGGACATTAAAGGAACTGCAGTTTTTGGCACTTCCATGTTCATTTTTGAGCCCTGGTAGTTGCTGCTTGATGGAATAACGTTCAACATGCTGACACACATTTGACAGCATCACTCAGATGTGCCAGTCACCAGGATTGTTAGTGTGTGGGTGCTTTGAATGTTAAATATAGCCATGGTGGAACACTCCCCCTAATGCACAAGGGTTTTTTTTCAATGTATTTGTTTGTTTCACAGTGTCAGAGATGCTTTTCAGTTTTACAGCCTGTTGTAACCTGTTGTTGCCTTTTGGGAAAGTGTTTGGTCAGTGTTTGTACAGTGCTATATTCCTTATTGTTATAATAATAATAATAATAATAATAATTAAAGAAAAGGTAGTTTATCAAAGTGTCCAGCAGGCAAAATCCTACCTCAGTCCCCAGCAACAGGATCCTGTCTCCCTTTAACACATGAACTATTATCTGCTCAAAATAAATGAAAAAAAATGTATCCTTACACAATTGCTTCTGCTGGACCGAACTTGCACAGAACCATGACTCCTGCACCAGAGTCTGAACCAAACCGTGACTTTTGTGAACCATTACACCTCTAATTATTCCACCTAATTACAACTTGGGTCTTTTGCATTATTTCCATCAGTTGTTAAAACATGTTACACAATCAAATAAACGCTGCAATCTGGGAAGGATGTGACATGGAGGTACAGTTCAGACTCAACTATTTTAGCCAGAATATCTAAACCACTTTAGTTGGAGGTAAAACCAAAAGTGAGACAACCTGCGCTGTGGCTCCAAACCCCTTATCTACAGGAAAACTGTGCTCACACATCTTCAGCAGTCAGTACAGTAGGTAAAAATTTACCTGGAAGTCTGTGATGGACGTCTGGGGAATAATCTCACTGAAGTTTGGCTGACCTGGGGGTTTGTCTACAACCTGAACAACTGTCTGCTGTTAACGCCACATGACGATGACACAGAGCTGACTGTATCTTGGTGAGTAAAATATGAGAACCAAATCCACTGTAGCTGTACTGAGCAGTCTGAAAACGTAAAGTGCTGTGAATGAGAGGGACGTCGCGGTAAATGAGACTGAAGATTAAAAACAAAACCACTGCTGACTCCTTTGTTTCTGTCTCAGTTCTTTTAACAATCATGTTTTTAACAACCTTTTCATCATCCTTTGTAATCCATTCTTATCTCTTACTCAGTAAATTTCTTTTGCTTTCTTGGTTTATGTGTATTGGAAAGCTTCTTTCCTGCTTTGTCCCTTTCTCCCCCACTTTTTGTTTTGTGATATCTCTGCATTCATCCTCTTTCTTCGCTCTCTGTCTCTCCCTTTTTATCTATAAACTTCACTTTAAATCAGTTCAGTTTGTGTCTCGTTTACCTGCATGATTAGACAGAAACTTGTGTTGCTAAGTCACGGAAAATCTTATCAACATGAGCATTATTCTTACAGTTTACATGTGACTAATAGCTAATAAAAGTTTACAAATACCAGTTTTCTGTCTCCCCTCTGTGTCTCAGATGATCTGCAGAAAATAATTGATAAAATGGAGACTGTTGCAGCGCGGGACAGCTGCGCTGCTCCTCAGACCTTCTAAAACCCTTCAGCTAAAACAATGAACTTCAGCCAACCACAAAAAACAACAAAAAAGAAAAAACTGAAGGAGGGCCTGGGAGGAGGGAGAATGAGGGGGGACGATGGTGGAGAAACACACAGCAACAGCTGCATGGGACGCTCAGTGAGTAGAAAATGCCGTGCGAGCGAACGTGTCAGTGAAGCCCGCCGTTCACCATTAACGCGCCGTTCGGCTTGTAAGCCCCCTCGCACCCCACTACCACCATCTGCCCCCCTTCTCCATCCCTCCCTCTCTTTCCGTGCAGCTGTCGGCCTTTTTTTCCATGTCTTTTTTTCCATGTGTGTCTTTTCATTCTTGTGTTTCAAAAACACGTGAGGTAATTCAACTTTGTTTTATTCCATTGGTCTCTGGTCCAGCTCCGGACCGATGCACTGATACAACGTCACTCGCTGCACTTCACTCTGCAGCGGTAACCACTGCACGCATGCAGTGAACAGTTAGAGGGGACAACATAACTTAAACGCCACATGAAAAGGAGGGAAAGTGATTGCAGTGAGTCACAGTCTGACATGCAGCTACACAGGCTGCTCATACTGAGTTAATTAAGGCAGATGCCAGGATGCTATATTTTACCCCGGTGATCAGCGCTTGCATGACTCTTCAAAACAACGCAACAAGCGGACCTCCAACAGGCCAAATCCACATTTGAACTGCAGGTGCACTGACTTTAAAGCTTCAAAATTACTTGTGTAACATATGCCAGGCCTTCGTCTGGAATGTCATGGAAACATATTCTCACTTCACACTGATCAGGTTTGTGTGTCTAGACATACAACTGCACTATCTGGTCCAAAATGAAAGGTTTTTTTTGACATTTAAATGACATTTACCTTTTGTTTTACAATGACTTAAGCTCCAGTGTGTAGGATTTAGGGAATATATTGGTAGAAATGGAATATAATACAATAACTGTGCTTTCTTTCATGTATAATCACCTCAAAATAAGAATCATTGTAGACACTGAATCAAGTGGGCCACTTCAAAAATTGACTGAACCCAAATGAAAGGAGGCTGGAGCACTTGATAAAATTGCAGAGCTTTTAATAAGGTGCAAACAAACTGACGTTTCGACGCTACTGCGTCTTCTTCAGAGTCAATTCTTTAAGGAAGACAAAGCTCTGCAATTTTATCAAGTGCTCCAGCCTCCTTTCATTTGGGTGTTTTTGGCTGAAGCGCACAAGAGTGCCTTTCTTTGATAAGAATCTTTGTGTTTTCACTACTTTAGAATGAGTCGTTTATATCTACATCGGGAGCAGGTCCTGGTCTACAGAGATCACCATGTTGCACCGCCATGTTTCTACAGTAGCCCAGAATGGACAAACCTATGGACGCCCACTGCGGGGCGGTAGTAGCTCAGCCCACCTTCACTTGGGTTGGGATCCAGGGTTCACTGTTTCAAGTCCCCGTCCGTATCAAATATGGAGTGTGGACTGATAGCTCGCGAGGTGCCCGTTCACCTCCTCAGCACCAAACCCCTAGCTGCTCGGGGTGCCTGTCCATGGGCAGGCCCATCACTGTGACATCTCTCTATTTGCAAGTATAATTCCTGTTTGTGCATGTGCGTGTATTTCAGGCCTGTGTGTGTATGACAACAGAGTGAAAAAGTTGAATTCCCCCTCTGGGATGAGCAGCGTCAGAAAAAGCACAGAATTTTTAACATGAAACTGCTTTATTCACTGTTTTTTACTGCTCTAAATCAGCTGGTCTGTTTGTTTTGTAAAAGAATATACCTCTGTGGATAAGTCAGCTCCCAATGAAAACCTCCTGAACAATCAACAATAAAGAAATTCTAACCAGGAGAAGTTTCAGCTGGCTGAAATTTGCAATCCTCACCACTAGATTCCTCCTAATCCCCCTAAAACTTACACGCTGGACCTTTAAATGGTTGTATTTGAAAAGCAGTTGTATGCTGGTTGTTAAACACATCTTCATATTTTCACAGAATTTAGCCTAATTTTAATCTAGACATTGTTTGAACTACAAATTATTAAATCAGTACTTGTTTGGATGCCAAATATTTGCTTAATGGACTAAAATCTCTGTGACAGTTTTAGCAAAAACTGCCAAGAAAAACGCTTTAGAATTTGGGTTCAACATCAACGCTGCAGTTAAAAGATAACCTGCAATTAAGGCAAGTGTTCCTATTATTTTGTCTATGTTACAAAGTAGTGTGGGAAGGCCCAGTGTCTGTGCCATTATTTATACTGTATGAGGTCTTGTCCCTGTTAGTTATCTTGAGACTAAAAACTTAACCCATGACTATAATTCCTTGATGCAGTATTGACAGGTCGTGTATGTCATGTTGAAAGCAACTGACAAACGATCAGGACGGTGAAATCTACAGTCGGTTTGTACACTGATAGACAAAATGGACTGTGTTTGCTCAGATGGCAGACGGGAGTGTGGGCTTTTTGGAGGCTCACTGAGCACAGGTCAAAGGTAAGCAAATTGTGCAAACAGAAAAGGTTTCGGTGCTCGGTCATAGTTTCCCCCAACCTGCCTCTAGCAGAGCACCTGGAGCAGTGTTGTGTCTCCAGCAGGGCGCTTTCACTCCTCACATACCAACATCCTGCTGAATTTACATGGACAATGAGGGCGGGAAACCGCACCGGCCACTGTGGCCTCAGGCTCTCTATTTACGCCTAACTGCTAGTATTTTGCATGCAAATTAGGTTCCTGCCATCTTTTAAAGACGTTTATTGTAAAATACAAAAAGAACAAACTGACTAATTTACCTGGATATGGCGTCCGTCAGCGGTGCCCAGGTATGCCACTGCACGGCCATGGACTGGCACCACGGTGATAGACGTAACCAAGGTGTTTGTCAACTCTTTGTGCCAGTACTCCAACCTCTGGACAAACTGGGTCACCTGCAGGCGGTAATTACTCTCTTTCCCTTCATGGATTCCCTCATGTGGGCCGCAGTCGTCTGATGAACTCTGCAAACCAGAACAAAAACAAAGGCATCAGGTGGAAAACTACAATTATCACCTCGCGGTTGTACGACTCCGCCAACCAGTACAAGTTGCAGTTTACATCCATATCTGTCAAGACTCATATGTAGCCATGATAGTAGATGATTCTTCAAATATGGATGTGGCTGCAAAGAAGCTACAAGCACATTTTAAACCTGACAGCACAGGAGATCTATACAATCAGCGCAGTTTCAATGTGGGGACCCAAGATTAGTGACACCAATTCAGTATCCAAACGACCAAACGAATGAGACAAGGTTCCAAGGTATCCAAGGTTGCACTGACCTTGACCTTTGACCATCAAATTCTAATCAGTTCCTTGAGTCCAAGCGGACATTTGTGCCCAATCTGGAGAAATTCCCCCAAAGTGTTCTTGAGACATTGTGCAACAATGACATGTACGCAAGGTCACAGGGATCTCGACCTCTAACCACAGGTCCAGGCGTGGGTGTGGTTTCACATTATTTCACCTGTTCATTCACTGGGATGACGGCTTTTAGACAAAGAGGGTGAGTGCTGGCTCTGATATTTTCTGTTGATCGTTATCACATAACACAATCACATAATCACACCAGTAATAATTTGGTTCATCCAATTATGCTTTAGTTATCTCAGTTGTTTGTTTCATAAATCATCATAAAAACGCAACTTTGGACTTCAGCATAGGCTTTTTTGAATGAGTCACGGTAAAGAGCAGCTTTTTTCATTGATAATAGTCACTACAGCACTCGTGAGACATTGCGTTCGATGGAGTTAGATGGATGCAAGCTTACAATAACCTCTGACCACCAAATCTAATCAGTTCATCCTACTGTCCAAGTCCAAGTGAACGTTTGTGCCAAATTTGAAGAAATTCCCTCAAGGCATCATTGAGATATCATATTCACGATACTGGGACTGACAACCCAAAAACATGTTGCCTCCAGCTCAGGCTGTCGCTGTCATGAAGACATTAAAATCCCTGCAGCGTGCTCCAAGAATAACAAAACATGCGGGGAGAACAACAGTGGAGAGAGTGTTTCTTATTGGGGTTACAGGCATGATATTGATATGACATCAGACGCAGCCAAGAAATGTCAGCAACATCAGTGCAGTCATGTTTAACACTGAATATTGCCCACTTCAAACTAGTAAACTTGCATAAGAATAAAAATGTAGAGCAAGCAGCAAAGACTGCTGATGGTAACAAATATTAGAAAACGTACTGTTAACCATATTTTCTGGGAATCATCAGCAAGATTAGAACAGCTTATCCAAACACACCACTCTCCGAAAAACTACTTGTTATATAATATCATGTTGAACTATCTTCTTTCATATCTGGCCTGATGGGGGAGGGTTAAGAACCAAACCTCCTAAGCCCCCGTTAGCTTCTCTTTCATCAGGCCGTGCTCGTAATGGAGGTCTCGGCCTGATAGTACCTCTAGGGCAAGTACACGCTTTGTTGAATAGAAGTTTTCATGGGAAACAGTGGGAACACTTTCATGCTGTTTTTCATTCCACAAACTGCTTCTTCCCGATCCAACTGGGCAACCCCTCATTTTGTCTCTTTCTCTAATTCCTCACTTGAGTTTGGAAGCAAAGTCTGTCACTCCAGCTAAACTCTTTGGGTTTTCAAACGTCGCTGGGTTGTGCAGATTGTTGTGTCTGGAGGCTTTGGAGCATACAGTGAAAGCACAGACTGTAGCCAGGGCTGGATTCAGGGCCTTTTCTCTATCAGTGCCCCCCCTGCCTCCCCTCCTCTTACTACTCTCTCACTGCTCCGGCTCTTTTTGTGTTTAGTCATGGCCTCCTGTCCCAGCCTCAGGTTTCATTAATTATTAATGACCCAGAGGGTGGCGGGCCTCTTGTGGCTCTGAAGGTCCTTGACCTGGCTGCCTGACCAGGCCTGTTGTTTTCTCAGCTTCAGTGGATGATGACCTCTTCAGCAGAGTCAAAAGGACGGGGGAGGGAGAACAGGTACAATGATTATGAAGACCTGTGGAAGGTTTCATTCAAAGCGCCTCACAGTGCCAAAAATGCATAGCGTTTAATTTGAAACTTTCCTTTCCTCAGAGAGATGTTTGTGCCATTAGTTTCGTCCTTGTGTTCTGACCTAGAGGGTAAAAACTGATCTTGTTGCAATGAAAGAAGTTGGTTTTAATCACTTACAGACTCATGATCTCTTTCTGCCTCTACCTAAAGCCCCGCCTGGGTCACTAGGCCATTATTTGTGGTTCGTGTGTAACATGCTGCATCATTTGTTCAGCATAGATCTCAAAGGCAAGCTTTGAAGACGAGGAGAACAATGGTGGGCCAATAAATCAGGAACATTTCTTTCTTGGTGACATTGCATAGCTGAGACGAACGGGACCGCACGAAGAGGAAAGCCGAAGAAAAGCAGAGAGCGCTGGCCAAGTGACAAGCACGCAGCAGCAAACCTTGCTTAAATTAAATGTCCTCAAGGCCAGTGGCAGCAGTTAGTGAGACAATGGTGAGTCAAACTCAGGGAAAATGTGGAGGAAATTGAAAGCTGGCTGACAGGTTGGATATTTTTATGCCAAATGCACAGCTGCGAGGTGGTGCGGCCAGTTGATCTGCACTGAATTACTCTGTGTTAAAGAGAGTAGCAATAGTGCAAAGCGGTCAAGAGATGACAGTTGGTGGCTGAAATTGATTTGAAATTGGATAAAGATATGGACACGTAGGACGAGATCAGGGTTTGATACAGTCTGAGGCAGAGGAAAAGGAATAGGATGTCTTTGATGTGTGAATCTGTGTGTAAGTTGACCTTTACCCAGTAACTCAGTGTAAAATATGATCCATTCTAACTTTCAGAACAGATTAAGTTATGGGAATCTGCCAAAACTCTTCCCACTACTCAAAAACGACAAGATAGAAACGTCATGGCTGTGGCGATCATGCCACGCGGCTCAATAAACAGACCCTGGGCTGATTATTTTCAGAGCAAACAAACAGGACTTTGGGATGTTTGCTGAAGTGGAGCAGGATGATGGGAGGGAGACCTGGAAAAGGTCTTGGAGGCATTCCTCTGCCTCTGCTGAGGTATTCCTGAGGATCAAGGCAATGAAATTGGACAGTGGAAAGACTGTTTTGACAAGCTTCGTTTGAAGCTCCGGCACTGTTATCCATGGCTGTTTCTTGGCACGGAGAGCGAGTTTTAGAGGACGTCAAACTGACACTACAGAGGCAAACAGGTTCCTCCAGAGAGTAAAGTCTTACACAAAGTTCAATAAGGAACTTAAATACATATGGCTATTCAAAGAAGAATTAAGTTATTAATGACAAACTCTATTGACAACCACAGAACTGAATGGTTTACAGAGGCAGGGTAGGGACAAGAACGAGATTTTAACATTAAACTTTCGAGCTAATTACACAAGAAAAAAAATCTAGCAAAGAGCAAGGAATATGACTCCATGTTGTTTAAAGAACCAGTACTTTTAAAGTGATACCAACGGAGTACTTTGTTTGATACCTTCAAGTGATTAGAGGCTTTCAGGTGCGTAAAATGCCACTAGACGCGTCAGGCAGGAAGTATATCCACACCTTCAAATGTTATGGCGGCACCTCTGTACCCTAAACTGCCGTCAAATACCCCTAGTTTGACTTCACCTCGCCACAGACTGTATGGGTTGAAGCTGTTTGGGTAGTGGGCCTATCATGCGTCACATTAAATCAGAGAATGCTTGCAGTGATTGGCTGCTAGCAAAACCATACAGATAATCATTTTTTCTGGATCTTGATACAAAAAGGATCAAATGCAGGCATTGTTTGATTGGAGAAGTTTCAATACTACTTGGTGCTGGGTTATCAAGGTATCGAGTAGTGATGCCCAGCCCTAACAAGGAAAACCTCTTTTATTGATCTTAAAACCTTTTAAAGTTTATTTAACTGGCAGCAGCCTCTAAATCTGAGTATGAGCTACAAGGGTGTTAAAGGTCGAAATGCTGGGAGGTAGGGATGTGTATTGTTTGAAAAAACAGACTAATCTTCTTTGTAGGTGGAAGCAAACAAGTCACTTTCTACACACTGTCGGTCTCTTTGAAAAGATATGAGATCCTGTAGAAGTTAGTCACATAGAAATACCTTTAAAATAAAGGATACAGTCTTGCCAGTTTTAATAAACTACTGTCCAGTTTTGATGGATACTGGGACATCTTTTCACCTGAAAGTCATCAATACCACATGTACTAGACTTTGCTGGTATGAGATGTTTCAACAAAACCCTTAACTTTGGGGGAAGAAACAACATGCTTATTCTTATTTTGCACAATGAATGAATATTATACACTGAAAAGTGTTGTACCTCATGTCTCCATCTGCTGGTGGGCCGTCACGACAAGAGTATGCATGTATAATATGATGTTAATTCCACTACAGGTGGGAAAAAAGTAGATATATCAATGTCAATATTGGTTATCGGCCAAATTAGTTGTTACATATCAGCATATCAGATATCGCTAACAGCACTGCTAGCGAAAGTGAAGGCTAACCTCTGATTCATTCTCGTTTTGGAAAAAGATCGGTCCGCTTGCCGCTCACTTTGCTAGATGTTCTTTGGCACTGTGTCCATGAAAGTGAGTACTGGACACACACAGATTGTAAGTCTGAGGGAAACAACAGGGAGTTCATTTTGAATGAGTCTATGCATTTTTGTATCTCTTACACTCATCTTTGGAAGATTTACGGTTTTAGCAAGTGCACCTGATGTTCTACATCTTTCAGGCCATTTTGTGAACGTGTCTTTCAGCCGTAGAACAGGCACCGTGGGGCAGGTACGTCAAACACTGTACACCTTTTGCTCCACACTCAACCAGCAGCCATTGTCCCCAAAAACAACAGCATGGCGATAAGGTTTCGGTGTCGTGGGGCTCCTAAACCCTGCGGCTCTTCTCAGAAGAGTCAAGAAGGGGGTGAAAGGTGATCTGCGTGGTCTAATGTCGTTTTCATACTCTCACTGT